GGCTCACTTCTATCTGTAGAGTCTGCTGAAGATTAGGAAAGATAATCTATAGTGCCTAAAATGACATGTTAAGTCATGCTAAAACAACATCTTGCTCATACTGACATTTCAGACACTATTGAGTGCTCTATCTGTCCTCAAGCTGTCAGTCTGTTTGAACAAGAGGACTCCCACAAATCTTTTGCCACATCAGCCAGGACTGATGTGGACTACTTTGATATTCCAAGGGCACCTCAAAGAGATTAAGGCACTTATGTATAGGCAGTTCAATCCCATCCTAAATGTTTGAATCTAGACCTAAAACCCACACATAAAGTTAAGTGGTCTCTCCTGCTGTCCTTCACCTTGCACTGGGTCTGGTTGGGATGGACTTAATTTTTTTTGTAGCAGCTTACATGGTGCTGTGTTTTGGGAGGGCAAAAATGAGGAGAAACTCTTAGGCACAGTTTAATAAGTGAAGAAAAAAAAAGAAAAAAACAAGTGATGCAAAAGCAGTCTCTCACCACCAACAGACCAATGACCAGCCACTCCCAGAGCAATGGCTACTTTTGAAAAACTCCCTCCAGTTTTATTGCTGAGCATGATGTCAAACAATGGGATATCCCTTTGGAGAATTTGGGTCAGCTGTCCTGGCTGTGTCTCTTCCCAATCTCTTGCACAATGCAAGCCTACTTTTGGGAGGTGGGGGCAGCATGAGAAACAGAAAAGGCCTTGACACTATGTAGGAACTGTTCAGCAATAACTATAACATAGGTGTGTTATCAGTGATGTTTTGGTCACCAGTCTAAAACACAGCACCATAGGGGTTACTATGAAGAAAGTTAACTCCATCCCAACCACACCCAATACACACCTGCAGTCTTAACTCTTGAGAAGAATTTTGTGTTTTGAAGCAATAATTGTATTTTTATATTTTATTAGTGAATTGAAATTCAGTAGAAATATTGTAGATATTTCGCTAGAAAGGAAGGAAGGAAGAAAGGAAGGAAGGCAGGAAGGAAGGAAGAAAAGAGAAAGGGAGGAAGGGAGGAAAGGGAGGAAGGGAGGAAAGGGAGGAAGGAAGGAAGCAAGCAAGCAGTGCCTTAAGAAGAATTCTTTCTCTCAGTAAAAATAAAACAAAGTAAAAATGTGTTTTCTGGCTGACGTTCCACCCCATATCTATCCCATTTACCTTACAAATATGAATGATTGCAAGAACAGTCTGTCCAGGTCTCCATATACTCAATGAGGAATGCTAAATTCTGAGTAAGTCAGTGATGAACCTTTGTCTCTGCTACCTTGGGCTATGTTTGCGTCAATTAAGAAATTAAATACCTGGAAATTAACTGAATAAGACTTCTATTCTTGTGCAATGCACTTACCCTCTATTCACTGCTGCTTGATTTCCTGGAATACTTTTTTTATTGTGATAATGATAAATGATCAGTATTTCATTGCAATGCATTTATCTGAACAAAGAATATTTCTTATAAGAAAGTGAGGAAAATTTTAAACAGAATATGTACTTACATTCTTCAAGAAACAATCAAAAATATTTTCATGTATATTGTGAAGTTGTATGTTCTGCACTTTTTCATCCAATCATGAATATTCCACATAAAAAGATGAAAAGCAGAAACATCCATACATAAATTCAATCCCCTATAGTAAAAATCAGAAACTTAGAAATTAACCAAACCCTTAGTAGCGTGAGCTACCATAATAGACAAAAGAAGCCTTTCTGTTGTTGCTATTGCTGTTGATTTTCTTTATAATGCATGTTCATTGTTTTATTAATTGGCAAACACTTTGGTTCCCAAGCAGTTATTACCTTGAGAGACAACATTGTCATTTTAGTCACATGCTCATTATTGTTATTTAAATTTCCTTCTTTGTCAAAAGCAAAAGTCAATTATTAAGTCGACAGTATGTGCTTTGTTTTTACATTTCTCTGTAAAAGAAAACAACCATCTAAGAAAATAAGGACAGCTGTGAATTTCTCATTCTGAAAAAGATCTTGTTGAGTAATCTGTTGATGGCATTCTTCATCTCCGTGTTCCTCAGTGTGTAGATTATGGGATTAAGCATTGGAGTGATGCCTGTACAAAGAGATGATATGGCTTTGTCCACAACAAGCTTTTGGAACGGACGTGCATAGAGGAAGATGCAGGGTACAAAATGGATGCTCACAAGTGCAACCTGAGTTCCACAAGTGGAAAAGGCTTTGTGCTTCCCCTCTGTGATATGTGTCCTGACTTTGACCAGGATGACAGCATACGACACAATCAGGAAAATGAAGATGAGGATTGTAAGCACTCCACTATTGGACACCATGAGTAGCTCAATTACATAGATGTCTGTACAGGCCAGTTTGATGACCTGTGGGACATCACAGTAGAAATTGTCTAGAAAATTTGGTCCACAGAATGGCAACTGAATGATCAGTGCTACCTGCACAATAGAATGAACAAACCCCCCTACCCATGCTCCTGCTACCAGACTGAGGAGAACGTTGGGATTCATAATGTTTAGGTACTGCAGAGGGAGCAATCAATATGAGGAGGACGGACAGAGTACCTCCTGTCAAATGGAAGAAAAACATCTGTGTAATGCATCCCTGAAAACTAATGGTCTTAACCTCAGACAGGAGGTCCCATAGCATCTTGGGCAGCGTCACTGAGGATTCACTTAGGTCTACGAAGGCTAAATTTCCCAACAAAAAGTACATGGGCTTGTGGAGCTGTTGATCTGTGATTACTGTGGTGATGATGGTGACATTTCCAAGCCAAGTCATTGCGTAGATTATAAGGTAAATTGTAAAGAGAATATACTGCAGCATGGCACTTTCAGTTAAACCAACAAGGAAAAATTTTTTCACAGTGGTGGTAGAATTCTCCTGCTCCATTGGTACCCTGTAGCATGCAATCAACAGAGATAACACCAGGTGAACTAGTTATTACTCATTGACATTTTTATTCAGAAGAAACTACTTGATCTTCTATTGTTATTCATCAAATATAATAGGCCATTGAATTTCTTCAGCTCCTTTTCTTGCATAACAGTTTGCGCTTGTAGAAATCTTCTTTGCAGTATGTACTTGAAAACAGTCAGCCATAAGATTCATCTCATCTGACTCTAAACAGGAGGTTTCAGTTCAGAATTTCTACACCTAAATTTACATATCTTCACTCTAAGTGTCTTTATGTAATCTGTGCTTCTAGTCTTTCCTTATAGTCAAAACAGGTGAGCATAACTTGACTAAATGTAGGTGCCTGGTACCATTTTAGATGTCCATGCATAATCCATCTGTAGTCACAGAGCTGAGAGCTGTGACACAGCATCTGTGGAAAACCTTTGTATCATGCTCCTCTGGAGCAGAAGCTGGAGACAGTTGGCATGTATCACCACGAAACCTCATATGGCATTACACATCCGTGTTTAGTCAGCTGAATCCCATTCTGGGCATTTGTCAGTAAAGTCAAGCAAAGACTAGATCATGATAATGCTCTCCCCAAAATAAACACACTGTCTCAGTTGTCCATGTTCCAGCAAATACTCAGTCTACGGAATGGATTCAACTGGCATTTCCATAAAGATGTCCTGTATCTTCCTCCCTTCCTTCCTTCCTTCCTTCCTTC